TATTCTATGCTTTTCATCACATCATTAATTAAACAATCACACGTAATTAATTTAAAATTAAATTAATGCGTAGCCTAATAATCCGGCTGGTACAAACAATGTCTTGAGATTAGGAATAGGTGGTGTTGGTGCAGGTGGGCCCCACCCAACGACGTCTACTGTACGCGCAATCAAATTTTGGAAAAGCCGCCGGAGTCTCCCCTGCAAGCAGTGTTTTAAAACGCGTCTCGCGCAATGCGTCGCGTTTTGGTCTTTATATTATATAGCGTAAATAGTGTAGCGCATTACGTAAGTTATTCGGGCAATTCACTTTTAATACAAAAAAAATAGTAATATATTTAAACCATACAAGCAAATAAATAATTAAAATGGTCTTAATCCATAAACTTTGACATTAAATCTTAAAAATAACAACCGAAGTCTTAACGTTTAAAGTAAAGACTCAAAATCTTAAAATAATCGGTGTTATCCAATTGAATTTGACTATCATCGTCAATTTCATCATAATTACGGAGATTTTCACTATAAAAAATCATTGGTACAATTTCACCAAATTCTTGCATCTCCTCATCGTTTGGAGAAAAAAGGGAGTATTTTTCTCATTTCACTTTTAGGAAACATAACATCTTATGATTATAATAGTCTAAAAGATCAATCCTAACTATGTTGATTTCAATTTTGCAACTAACTGTTTTTTTCAAGAGAAATAAGAAACATGATTTACCAATCACTCAAATTCGCCTTGTGAGAAATTACTCGATTTTGTGCATTACATTTTTTAGTATTTTATTATTTATTTTTTGTCAATAAAAAATAAGGATTGTCCAAATAGCATGAGCAATATAGGCAATTGCGCTTTTCAAGAACTCCGCGAAGTTATATATCCAATATCGCATTTTTAAGTAAAAATGCGCTATAGAGCGCTTCGCAGCGCGAAAGTGCGCTATTTAAAACACTGCTTGCAAGCATGCAACACACACAAAAATACAACTACGAGAAGTTGTACAATAATTAAATTTTTTTTTTGTTAATAATAACTTTTTTTAATGAAGATAGAGATAAATGTTTTGAGAGAAGATGAAGAATGAATATGAAAATACGTAATTATTTATTAACTAATTGAAGGTAATAATTGAAAAAGAAAAACGCTATAAGTACATAATAAATGTACATAGATGTGTACATAACACTCACATGGAGTGGAATCCATTTGATTTTTAATTTGGAAAATGCTACAAGTACATAATAAATGTACAGAGAGGTGTACATAACACTCACATGGAGTGGGGTCCACTTAATTTTTTATTTTTTGTTGGGTCCCACTCAATGTGAATGTTATGTACACCCCTATGTACAATATTATGTGTCGTCTATAGCGTTACTCTTTTAATTTTGAGTAATACTATAGGTATATAATATTGTACATAGGAGTGTACATGACACTCACATTGAGTGGGATTCACTAAAAATAAAAAATTAAGTGGACCCCACTCCATGCGAGTGTTATGTACATCTCTATGTACATTTACTATGTACAGGTAGCATTTTCCTTTAATTTTTGGTAGGTCCAAGTTTATGTATGTACAATATTATGTACCTATAGCATTTCTTAATGAAAAATATGTACAAAAGATCTAAAATATTTGTAAAAAAAAATAAAAAATATTATAAGTTTCAACCTTTCAATCACCCATCAATCAATGAACGATTAAATTATTATTTACCATTGATTAAATTATTATTTATCATTAATCAATCAATGAAGATTAAATTAATATTTACGTTTCTTTAGTTTCATTGTTTATTAATTGTGTTAATCTCATTCATTATCTTTCCTTGTTGCTCATTTTAGTTTCTTCAATGTATCAACTATTAAAATTGACATTACGACCTATAAAATTCAACGTAATAATAATGGTCAAGATATTTTGTATACATAAACATGCTATTATTCCTATTGGACGATAATGAAAGCATCCATATTTTGGATATCTTCTTAAAATTTTATGTACCTTCAATAAAATATACAAAAAAGATATTCTTTAATAAGATCAAAAGTGAACATAATCCACATTGATCTTGTATCTTTTACGGATAATAATAATAATAATAATAATAATAATAATAATAATAATAATAATAATAATAATAATAATAATAATAATAATAATAATAATAATTTATTTTCAGAATGAGTAAATACTACTTTACTTTCGGTTGTAATATTTAAAAGTTAAAAAATATTTTAAATATATTTATATTTATATTGAAATATTTTTATTTATTAGCTTTATATTTTCTCATAGCTGATATGACATAAAAAAAATCTCATATTTTTCATATCGTTTTTAGTTTTTATCTCGATTTTTTTTTTTTATTATTATGTTTCATACAATTACATTCAAATTCTTAAATTGATATTTTAAAATATTCTGAGCACTGAATCGATAAATTTAATTTTTTGAGGCACATAATTGATAGTTTCTTATCTTGTAGATGTCAAATAAATTGAAATAATTTTTGAGGCTGAAACTGATAGTTGACTCATCTTTCAAAACAGTAACTCATAAAATTGTATTTTTTTTATGATTATGATTTTATTCATGAGATAATTACTTGTAAAGCGATTGTTGCAAACAATCTCTTTTATATTATTAATAAGAATAGTACAAATATATATCTTAAATTGATCAGTGAATAATTAAAAATATCTCCAATTAAAATATTTTTTATTAGTTAAAATTAATGCTAGAAAAAGATTTAACTTTATTTATGTCTTTTACCAATTGTCATATAGTAAAAAGAAGGAATAATTGATTTTTTTTTTTCTCTAAAAATAAAGTAAAAATTATGGAAAGAAATTAGTCTTTGAAAATAAAAGAATGTTGAAAATACAATTACTGAGTATTCTCTAGTAATTCATATTTTTTTGACTAATTATATGTAAACATATATACTTATATTAATTTTTTAAAAATGACTGCATTAACGTTTTTTTATGCTATTCGCTAAATAATTTTCACATTTCTATCCAAAATGAATGATAGGCGTGAAGGGACCTGAAAACATGAATGATGGGTTCCAAAACCATATAATTGGATTATTGATAAAAAAAATTGCAATCATACTACTTGTCAATGTCACTTAGATCTTCTTAATAGACGTAATAATGGTAAGAAAAAAAAATTATATATTTATCATACATCATTATTACCTAATTTAGCTCAAAGCTTAACACTAAATCAATAAAAGTTGATAAATAAAAGAATCTTCAAGCTTGACAAAGATGAGATGATGAGTCCTTTGACCACACGAGATAGAGCAACGTGTTTTTTACGCAAGAGCCCGACAAAGACCAAGGAACAGCACTTTTTCACCGTTTTACGTATTATTGTCCTTTAATGTTACAGTCTCGTTATGAAATCATTATGTCGAGATTTGTAATTGTTAGATCATCATACAATCTTCGTGGATAGTTGATCTAACGATTACAAACACCGACGAAATAATTGCGTAATTGGACCGTAGAATCTCTGAAAGAAGTCCACACACCCATGAATTGAATCATGAATGAACCCTCGTGCCCACGTCCTCTCTCTCTCTCTCTCATTCTATCCCTTCTGTCGTGCGCGTGCGTCGGTGCCATTTAATAATGTGCACCACCGTCAGTCACTCCCCTTAACGGTGGTGGCGCAACAACGCCAAAGGCCCAAATCAAAACCCCGAACAGTGACATTTGCGTGAACCCATCACCTCTCGTGAGTCGTGACCCCATTACTAACCTGCGCCGGTCGAGCCTTTTATTGGCTAAAATTGAACACATCCCAACAATTCCCGCCATAATGTACACGTTTCACTTCACTCCCGAGGAAAATGCATCTAAAAAATTCGAAATATAATAAGCATAAATTAACGAGATTAGCGGATTAGCGTGGGTGTGACTGATTCGTGTATACTCTTTGCTTTGGTATTCGAAAAAGTGCCGAACCTCAATTACACTTTGATAGCCAAAAAACAAAGCAAGCAATTACCTATTATTATTATTATTATTATTATTATTATTATTATATTTTATTTATTGTTTCGGTTAACGTGAAGGGTAGCGGTCTGGGTGGAGTTACAGAGGGGACACTTTTGCAGAGACGAGGCGCAGAGTGCGCAGAGACAGAGGTGCCTGCACGGCAGAAGCAGAACGCTTGACTCTTCCTTCCCACAGCTCCGGCACATCCCATCCTCGGCACTACGGACCGTCTCGTTGGGGTTGCTGCCGCCGCAGCACGACGACTGCGCTTCGTCTGCCGCCGCCGCGGCGTCGCCGCGTGGCTCCTCGTCCTGGACCTGAGCAAGCACGTTCTCGAGGTTGCACCTGAGTGCGTTAGCCGTGGCCTCATTCGCCTGCGCCAAATCGCGCCATATCTGGTTTTCCACGCACAGAGATTTCACCTTCTCCGCGAGCGCCCAGTTCAGTTTCCCAATCTTCTGGATCTCCTCCTCCTTGGATCTCAGTCTCTTCATTATGTGCTCCTCCACCGCCGTCGCAATCCGCCGGGTGTACCTCTTTCTCCGCTCCTCCACTTCCAATCGAACCTTTTCCGACTGTTGATTAATAATAAAATAAAATTAATAAAACGAAATCCATTACTTCTAGCAGATTGTTAATTCGAATTAATTAGACGTACGTACGTGTTGTGTGATTAAACGGTCCATCTCCACTTGCTGCTGCTGGAACTGAAACGACAAATCCTCGCCGAGAAACGGGAAAGGAACGCCGCAGCGGCTCTGATTCGAAACAGCCGTAGAATTGATCACATCTCTGGATCGCTTCCTTGACGCCGGAACGGCGTAGGAGAGGCCGCTGTCGGACTTGATCACCGGGACGCCATCCGGACCGTAAATCCCAACCATTGTCTCCGTCGTCGTTCCGGAAGAAAGTGCCGCCGGCGCACCGTACACGACGCCGGCGCCTTCAATTCCGTCAAACATCATAACCCCTCTGCGTTCATCAAATCGAAGAAGCATCGTGAATTGGTTTTCCCCAATGCGATTCAGTCACTAATTCAGAAATGGGGGAAAAAAAAAAATCTGCACCTACCGGTCGCTGGGGAAAAGAAACAGACGGCGATAATCAACTGCCATGAATGACTTTTCGCTTTAAATCTTTGATATTTGTTTATCTTTCTAACTCTGCCACTGATATATGCATATATAAGAAAACTGTGTGTATTTGTTGGTTTTGATTGCTTGATTTGAAGGCTTATAGAGAGAGAGAGGCGAGAGGTTGCCGTGGAGAAAAAGAACAATGTGAGGAGAGAAAAAACGGAAGCAAAGTAAGGGTAGAGGAGCATGCACATATATATATATAAGACAAATGTTACGATACCATTACGGTATCATCCTGTCCGGTATTTTAACCATTGGATAATCTATCTCATGTAACTACATGTGGATTTATAAAGGAAATGCTGCGGTCCCGATAGAATACCATCACATCAAGTATTTTAATCGTTGGATCATCTATCTTATCTAATTACACGTGAATCCAACAGGTAAACACGGGATGGTCGTATAGAATTTCCCTATATATAATATAGGTATATATATGTGTGTAGTATTATACTACTAGTATAATACAAAAACAAAATAGGTGGTGTTTGGCTTTGAAGATGTAATAATCCATCCAGGAAAAAAAGAAGAGGTAATTTGTGAAAAAAGAATACTACTGTGTTTGGCGTATTCGAAGGGGATAATAATAGGAGATAAGATAATAATGAATACACACACATTGTTGGGTGAAACCAAAAGGACAATCTTTTTTATTGGCTTTAGACCCGTGGTCTATCACATGAGGAGTAGTTGTTGTACTTGTATTTGTTGA